GTGTGAAACATCAGTGTGAAACAATGTGAAACATCAGTGTGAAACATCAGTGTGAAACAATGTGAAACATCAGTGTGAAACATCAGTGTGAAACAATGTGAAACATCAGTGTGAAACAGCGTGAAACATCAGTGTGAAACAATGTGAAACATCAGTGTGAAACATCAGTGTGAAACAGTGTGAAACATCAGTGTGAAACAGGAACTGTTCCCAGCATGCTCCTCACCAGGAAGTAGTCAAAGAATTCCTCTGCCAGGGTGAACAGAGGGGCGGAGCCTCGATGCAGGTCAGAGGTCAGCAGATTACAAACAGCTTCAAACCATAACATCACCTGAACAAGAAACAGATTACAGATTATTGATCACTGTCCGACTGACAGATTACTGACAGATCACAGATTACTGACAGATCACAGATTACTGATCACAGATTACTGATCACAGATTACTGATCACAGATTACTGATCACAGATTACTTTGGTCAATAATCCGAGGCTGATGAGCTCCTGGATGATGTCTTTGTTGTTCATCATTATAGTTAAAGATTTCATCAGAACCAGAACTCTGCTGAACCCAGAGTCACACAGTTCCTGAAACAAACAAACAAACCTAATTAGATGTTTTTGTTCTGGATATTTATTTATTTATTTATTTATTTCACTCTCTCTCAGCCCCGCCCCTTACAGTTACCTTGTTCACCAGGTGATTCAGCCTGTTGAGGGTGGACACACTCAGTCCCTCCTGGTGAATCACAGAAACAAGTCGACTTGAGTCTCCATGAAGGAAACAGTCCTCCACCTGCAGCTCAAACTGACACACACACACACACACACACACACACACACACACACACACACACACACACACACACACACACACAGAAACGTGAGGAAGCTGTTGGAAACAGGCAGGATGAGGTGAAACTGCAGCAGTCAGGTCCTGCAGCAGACAGCAGGGGGCGCTGTGGGACCTGCTGCTGGGTGAACCGAACTAACCGTGGTTCTGATCCAGAACTCAGGCTCGTTTCTCTGTGGAAGCGATTCAGTAACAACATCCTGATTAAAATGTTTCATAGAATCACTTCCAGATTTCTCAGGGACAAATTCAGACAAACAAACACCAACTTCCTGTTCGATCAAACATTAAAACAAATTATTTACCATCACGCGCCTCGTCTCACTGTCTGCTGCCTGTCGGGAGCGCGCACAGCTGCAGCTAATTAACTCATCAGCAGCTGAGGGAAAGTAGTTCCGGCTCAGCGGAGTGATATCTACCTGTCCTACAGAAGAACYACAAACTACAAACCAGAAGTCCACACCACAACCCCGAGACCTGCTCAGATCTCAGAGCCAGGACCAGGACCCAGTGTTGGTCCAGGTCCAAACACTTGATCTAAGGGGGTCTGGTTCTGTCTGGGTTGGGGGTTCAGGTCTTTCTTTTCTTGAATATTTAGTTTTATGAACAGAAAAATCTGATTCTGATGTTTTATTAGAAAAAACAAAGATTTTTATCTCAGCAGGACAGTAAAGTTAGAAACCTGGACTCAGGTTCTGGACTCAGGTTCTGGTCTCAGCAGGTCTCTGGACTCAGGTTCTGGTCTCAGGTTCTGGTCTCAGGTTCTGGTCTCAGGTTCTGGACTCAGCAGGTCTCTGGTCTCGGGTTCTGGACTCAGGTTCTGGTCTCAGGTTCTGGTCTCAGGTTCTGGTCTCAGGTTCTGGTCTCAGCAGGTCTCTGGTCTCGGGTTCTGGACTCAGGTTCTGGACTCAGGTTCTGGTCTCAGGTTCTGGTCTCAGGTTCTGGTCTCAGCAGGTCCGGATCATTAAACTGTTGATTAATAAGTTTGTTTGTTTTGGGACAAACATCAAAGTGTTTCCACAACAAAACAAACACTCACCTGGATCCTCAGGTGTAAAAC